TAATTAAGTCATCAAGAACAAAACTATATCTAATCTGTGTACAAATTTGCCATAAGACGCATATTCATTTTTTTGTTGGAGAAAAATATGACTCTAGGGTTGACACGTGAACAAGTTATGGCTATACTGGGTTCGAGTCCGATAACGAAAAGACTAATTGATAGAGCTTTTTCCTAGTAGGAAAAARCCGATATTTCAGTTCTGTTACTGAACCACGAAAGTAGCTCAGGTTTAAAATAAGGAGAGGAAAGAGCTCCTGAAGCAGGCGAAGTTGAAAGTAATCGCAGAGGAGCAGGCGGCGAAAATGAAGAAACTAAAGGAGGAGATGGAGGAGAAGAAAAAGGCTGCCGAGGCAGAAGCAGCAGCAGAAGCAGAAGAGGAGAGAAAATGCAGAAAAGTAAAAGGGGAGAGTAGTGGCACGACGAATGAAGATGCGGTGATGGAGAAGAAGATTAGTGAGTTGATTGCTAACTTATCATTGGGGGAAGACGAGGAGGCACAGTTATATGTGCCACAGGACGAGAAGGAAGCGTTTGCCAGGGTGCTAGCAATAATCGAGGACCCCCTGGAACGGCAAGAAGCAGAGGAGGAGAAGAAATTGGAGTGGAAACTGAGGATGAAGAGGGAAAAGAAGAGAAGGAGGGAGGAAGTTAATAGGTTGACCACAGAGGTGGAAAAGGTGAGAGCCTGTAGGCAAGAGGTGCAGGCGCAGGCAGACATCTCCGCCAAAATGGATAAGATGCTGGGGTACTTGGAAGTGTCGAGTGAGGCTTGGCTGGACGAGCACCAAGCCAACTGGGGTCACGATATAGCCCTGAGTGCCATGCGATCAGGATTTCGAGACTTTGCACGCGACATGGTCACCCACGTTGGGGGTGAAGTCAGGCTATTAAGGGAGAATGTGAGAAAGTTTTGTGAAGGGGCCATTGAGAGTGCCAAAGCAGTAGCCGCTGTCGAGAGTGAGGCCAGGCCTCGTAAAGAGCCCGTCAAGCTTAAATTCCCAGATGCATACGGCGGGAAGAAGGCAGAGAATTTTGATAGCTGGGAGGCGAGCGTCAATAGTTACGTATACTTACAGCACATCTTGACTGAGGAACAAATCCTCGTCGCCTTCTAGGCCCTCAAAGATGAAGCGGCCAATTTTGCGCGTGCAGCCGGTTGTGGAAACAACCTGGTTGCATACTCTAAGATTACTATCTTCCTCAATTCTTTAAACTCCTGCGAGAGAGATTTGCTGACCCAACGAGAGGCGTTAGAGGCTCTGATAAGTTACAGACCATCCACTCGCGACAGTGGAGGAGTGCGAGAGCACTCAAAGCTGTCATGGACGACTTAGTAGCTGTCCCAAACCATGGGGTCACTGAGGCCCAACTGGTCCAATTGTTTTATCGTGCCGTGCCACAGCCCCTACGTGGGCATTTCTTTGACAAATCCCAACAGGCCGACATCACGTATGATGTGCTAAGTAGAGAGGTGGTCCTGTTCGAGTCGAAGTCCATGCAAGTGTCCACTTTCTGGCACAAGGACTTGGATAAGGGGAAGAAGTGGAAGGGTCGTACCATCTCTGGCCAAGTTAGGGCCAAGGATCACATGATCCTTACGTTAGAAGAAGGTGGTACAGATGAAGTCCCCTACAGTGAGATTGAGTGGGGGTTAGAGGAGGAGGACAATAGCGTAGGGCAGGAGAGGTCCTATGCGGCTGTCGCGGCTGGAGGGAGGCCGCAAGGTAGAGGAGGAGGCCAGGGTCAAAGGGGCCACGCCACGGGAGGCCGAGGACCGGGCGCACAGGGGGTTGGCGGACAAGGGAACCGCCAAGTGGGAGGTAGGGGTCAAGGTTCCCCGCCAAATCGTCAGAGTTTTTGTTGGTCCCCTCAGCGACGAGGTGGAAGGTAACCTCAAGGAGGATGGCACCTGGGCTTGCCGCAGGGCAGGCCCTGGGAAGATTTGGGCTTGGGCCAGCGCGTATGACAGGAACGCGTGGACTTGGGTCAGTGTGTGTTTTGTGGTGACCCGGCCCATGTAATCAAATTTTATCCTAAGTATAGACAGGCCCGATGGGCTGCTCAACAGTCAAAAGGCAGCCGCCAATAGGGGTCGCAACTGCCCCTACTTTAAGGCCATGTGGGGAAGCGAGCGCGCGCGATCAGGTAACTCCCACACCACATGAGCCTATGGCAGAGGTTGGAGGCCAGTGCCTAGCTAGCTGTCCAGAGACTGCTTGTGTTAGCGTCTCTCTAGGCACTTCCCTCACAGCCGTGGCAGAAGAGTTGAAGGAGAGAATGCCGGCCTGGGCCAAAATGAAGAAGGAGAGTAAGGGACAACTAATTTTAGTTGATGTAGAAGTTTTCAGGAGCAGAGTAGGGGCCCTTATAGACTCAGGGGCTACCCGTAGTTATATTAGCCGTTGAGCGCTGAAGAAGCTAAGGCTAGGATTAAAAGTCCAAAAGTTGGCAGACCCCATAGTCAGTGTCCTCGCAGACAACCGCACCATGGGCGTTGAGGACTACGTAGAGGGAGTCCAGGCATACTTCCGCCTCGAGAAGGATGGAAAGGTGCAGAAAGTTCTCCATTCCCTGATTCTCCTCGTACAGGATGACCTTCCGTTTGATATAGTCTTAGGAATGGATTGGGGAGAGGCAGCAGGGGCAACACTCTATTTGAGAGAGCATGAGTGTAGGCTCCCTAGCCCGTCAAGCGAGGTTAAGATTACCCGCCTGTTTCATATGTCAGGTGTAGACAACACTCCGGCACATTGCTGTCTCAGTGCTCCCGCGTTTGCGCGATTTGTGAAAAAGGAGTAGTTAGAGGATCAGGTCTTTGTAGTGTATGTCAGACCTGTCACTGAGCCTAAGGAAGAAGTTAGTTTCACAGATCCAACCATTGCCAAGCTGCTGGAGGAGTTCAAAGATTTGACCGAGTCGCCGACAGGAGTAGTGTCGCGGCCGATCCAGCACAAGATAGAGATAGAGCCTAGCAATCGAACTCCTAAGGGAGCAATCAAGATGATGTCCCCTAGAGAATCAGAGGAGTTACACAAGTAGTTGGACGAACTCCTCGAGAAAGGTTGGATCAGGCCCAGTTCATCGCCTTTTGGAGCACCAGTTTTGTTCGTCCCCAAGAAGGAAGGAGAACTGCGTATGTGTATAGACTATAGGAGTTTGAATGCCATCACAGTGAAGAATGTTGAATCATTGCCCATGATAGACGATCTCTTAGATCGGGTGCAGGGTTGCAAGTATTTTTCAAAGATAGATTTGAAAGCCGGTTATCATCAGATAGAGGTCCACCCTGAGTTCATAGTGATGCCCTTTGGACTAACCAACGCGCCAGCTACATTTCAGCGTTGTATGAATGATCTGTTTAAACCTTGGTTGGATAGGTTCGTCGTAATCTACTTAGACGGTATCTTAGGTTTTAGTAGGACCCTCCAGAAACATCAGGGTCATTTGAGGCAGGTCTTGGAGAAGCTCAAAGAAGCTAACTTCAAGATCAATGCGAAGAAGTGCGAGTGGGCTAAGACACAAGTTTGTACTTGGGCCACGTGTTAGACGGAGATGGCATTAAGCTAGAGGACAGCAAGATAGCGGCAATTCAAGACTGACCGACGCCCCACACGTTGATAGAGTTGCAGTCGTTCTTAGGCCTAGTTAACTACTATAGAAAGTTTGTAAGGAACTTCTCTACTATCGCCGCTCCCTTGCGCAGGTTGCTTAAGAAAGAGGCAATCTGGCAATGGGACAAAGATTGTACGTCTGCGCTTAAGAAGTTAAAGCGCGCGTTGATAGAGTACCCTGTCCTCAAAGTGGCAAATCCGTCTTTGCCATTTGTCATCACCACGGACGCGAGTCAGCATGGTATAGGCGCCGTGTTACAGCAAGACGACGACAATGACTACAGACTCATAGAGTTCATATCAGCGAGGATGCCCTCAGAGAAGGTTGCTACCTCGACGTACGAGAGAGAACTTTACTCTCTCAGGCAGGCTTTAGAGCACTAGAAGCATTACCTGCTTGGGAGACACTTCAAAGTGTATTCAGACCACGAGACGCTTAGATGGTTAAAGATGCAGGCCAAGATGACACCTAAGTTGACCAGGTGGGCCGCTGAGATAGACCAATATGACTTCGAGCTCAAACCAGTCAAGGGCAAGTACAATGTAGTCGCGGATGCTCTAAGTAGGAGATCAGACTACTTTTCACTATCTGGACGTATGGAGTGACCTGCAATAAAAAGTTAGACAGGCGTATGCGCAGGACCTTATCTATAGTGACCTCCTCAAGAGAGTCAAGGAGGCCCCAGAGACTGAGCCAGACTACCGCACTACAGAGGGGTTATTGTTTGAGAAGACTAATGTACTAGACCGCTTATGCATTCCCAACAGCGAGGAGATTCTCAGTCTCATCTTAGGGGAATGCCATGATACAGAGGGACATTTCGGTTGGCAAAAGACTTTAGCCAATCTTATGCACGCATACACATGACCAGGAATGAAAAACGACTGCATAGAGTATGTCCGCAATTGTAAAGTTTGTCAGAGGAACAAGACTACTACGCGTGCCTCTCTAGGTCTTCTCATACCCTTGCCCATTTCAGACCAGCCTGGAGATTCAGTCTCCATTGACTTCATGGATGCCGGTGTCAAGAGTAGGCACGGCAAGAGCCCAGTCATGGTTGTAGTTGATAGGTTTAGCAAGTATGCCATTTTTGTTCCTTTGCCCGCAGAGGCGCGCACAGAGTTAGTGATACAGAGGTTCTTTAATTTTTGGGTTAGTGAACATGGAGTCCCGTTGTCCATAGTTAGCGATAGAGATAGTCGCTTCACCAGCCAGAACTGGCAGGAACTCATGAGGGTTTATGGATCTAAGTTGTTGATGTCGTCTGGCCGCCATCCAGAGACTAACGGTCAGACAGAGCAGATGAACAAGATCCTGCAACAAGTTTTGCGCATGTACATTAGACCCGATCAGATCAACTGGGACGAGATGTTACCCAAGGTAGCCAGTGCATACAATAACAATGTGCATTTTTCCACCTGTCGCACTCCCAATGAGCTGCACAAGTCCTTTAGACAGCACAGACCGTTCGAAGGGCTCAACCGGGATCAGATTCACAGGCTACCACCCGGTACCAGGGAGTTCGCAATACAGCACGAGAAAGAGATAGCAACTGTTGTTGAGAACCTCAGGAAGACCCAACACCGCATGATAGAACAAGCTAATAAGCACCGTCGCCCATAGCAGTTTCAGGTAGGCGACCTTGTCTGGGTCAAGTCTAAAGAGTTTGCACCTGAGGAGAAATCTTGCAAAAGTTACTGCCTGCGTATAGAGGACCGTGGCCGGTTCTAGAAGTTAAGGGCGGAGAGGATGGGCCGTCCTACACTATAGAGATTCCAGCACACCTCCACACCTACCTTGTGTTTCACGCCTCAAAGTTATTGTCGTGTGTCACAAGTCAGCAGTTTCCCTCTAGATGGTCCATGATTCCTCCGGACATGGACGGAAGATATGACATTGACGGCATTGTGGGGGAAGATGTGTTCAGGACAGGAGGTAGAGGTCGTCCGCAAAAGCATTATAAGGTCCGGTTTGCATATCAGGAACCGAAGGATGACCGCTGGTTCACGAGATTAGAACTTATGAAGACAACTCCCGATATAGTTAGGGCCTACGAGAGAGAGCAGAAAGGTAAAGGTCCTGCCTTGGATTGAATTATTCTCGGAGGACCTCGAATTTAGGACGGCGGGAGTGAAACGATATTCACCAGTTCGCAGTAGCTGATGCAGATCCTAGGGCTCGATCCCTAGTCCCCACCTTACCGGTGTACCATACCTGTGTTGAACTGTAGAGTTGAACCCGCGACCTGTGTATTTGTAACAATTGATAGGTTGTCGTAGGGTCCATAGGTAGCATGGTTTTGATCTGTAGACCTGTCGAGTACGAGTCTTAGTCAGGTCTAGAAGTCCTAGCTGTAGCTTTCCTGAAAGGTCAAGGTCGTAGCTGCTACAATCCAGAAGGGTCAAGTCGTAGCTGCTACAATCACGAAAGGCCAAGTCTACGGCCTTCCGGAAGGTCCCAGTAGTGGCCTTTCGTAGTTGCCCACGTTTACACTGAGGCAAGTGGGCAAGTGGTGAGGCAAGTGGTGGAGTCTGCCCGTGCTGAGTCA